ATTGTACGACTCATACAGCAATCGCCATCACTTCACTTAAAATATTTTTGCTCTTCCTTGCCTTTAAAGGAGTGCCCTTAGCCGTGCTGATGTTGCTACACGCCTTCTTGCCTATCTCACACTGCGAACTTTTTCTAAGCTCTATACTAAACATTAAATCTTACGAAAAAAGAACTAAACAAATGAACACAAAACGATCAGCTTTAAAAAAGGACTCGTAACTGGAAAAACTGAATGAAAAAAGATTGTTAACAACAAATACTTTTTCACACCCAACCCAGTTCTGCAGAATCAGAATCAACGTTGAGTTTAAGCAAGCGAATGAGCCAATTGGTGTAAAGTGCCATGAAGATTTAAATTTTTCCCACTTGTGACGAATGCAGCTATCGATTTTTTTTTGCATGATAGCATGCTAGTTAACATTCGTGTCAGTCAGCTGTTGGCTCTCACACTGGCCAATAGAATCTTCCTGTCTATTCATGGCAGCCAGCTATAGGCTCTCACTCTGGCTAGTAAGAAATGGCCGCAAACTACATGAAAACTGCCATAGAAGCATGAAAAATCGATTATTTCTAATATCAACGGGAGTTGGGAAATGCAAAGTCGGTCTTGGCCTTCCCACTAACTTGGAGCATGTGCATGTAAATTTTGGGGCAAATCCGTCAAAAATTGTGGCCGTGCATTCGTTACACACACACATACACACACATCCTGCCTTTTATAGATAGAGATACACACACACACACACACACACACATCCTGCCTTTTATAGAGATACACACACACACACACACACACACACACACATCCTGCCTTTTATAGATAGAGATACACACACACACACACACACACACACACACACACACACATCCTGCCTTTTATAGATAGACACACACACACACACATCCTGCCTTTTATAGATAGAGATACACACACACACACATCCTGCCTTTTATAGATAGAGATATACACACACACACACACACACACACACATCCTGCTTTTTATAGATAGAGATACACACACACACACACACACACACATCCTGCCTTTTATAGATAGACACACACACACACACACACACACACACACACATCCTGCCTTTTATAGATAGAGATGCTTTAGGATTTCATTTTACTCATTTTTTTTTCTCTCCACTTTGTCATTGATTTTCCTAACAGAAAATTTATGTAAATTTATGTAAATTGTTTTTGAAAACCGTCTGAGCTTATCTTTTCTTTGTCAATCCTTTCTTCGGGATTGAAATCATGACTCTTCCTTAATATTCATTTATTTAATGAGCCTTGTAATGTTTTTTTTTTTTACCTGAGGCAGGATTTCATATTTTACTCGACTGAGTTTGATGACATCACAATGGAAAAAATTTTCAAAGTGAGGGTGGCTTGTTTGCGTTGAAAATTAGCATTTGAACCTTAGAGTTCTGCCTCAGATTGAACACTGATCCTTAGCAAATATTTATCTCTCCAAACTTGCTGGCTATAGTGGCCTTTCCATTCTTTATCTCTTTGAAATTATTTTTCAATAAACCTTGCATCCCAGGGGTTGAAACTGGTTGACAAGGACAGCATCTTTATTCATAAGGTTACAATCTAAAAACTCTGTTAAAGTAACCAGAAGAAAAAATAAATAGTTATTAAAAAAATAAAGTTATTCTTCTCTAGGGTATAGAGAAGAATAACTTTATTTTTTTAATAACTATTTATTTTTTCTTCTATTCATAACAGTGCTGCCCTGGGTCAAGAGGGTGGCTGCTGGAAGACCTAATGTCTGGCAACAGGACTCTGCACCATTCCACACAAGCAGGAGATCCCAGATATGGCTGTCAGACAATTTCTGTGACCACATCGCCCCTTACATCTGGCCACCTAGCTCCCCAGGCTGCAACCCCCTTGATTATTATGTGTGGGGGCAGAGTTGAGCAAGAGACCAACAAAACTCCTTGTAACATCAAAGATGAACTGAAGGCAATGATTATGGCAGCATTCACCAACTTAAACAAGAAGACCATCCAGAAGAGACGCAGGAGATTCCAAAGTTGTCTGGTAGCCATGGTTGAAGCCAATGGTAATTTTATTGAATAAATTTACTCTTTAGTATTTCAAGATATTTGTGTGTAATTTTGGTAAATATATCTACTAAAATGAAATGTCAGTGTTATTTTTACTTTTGCGTAATTTAGATGACAATTTATCCATCGCACCCTGTATATGCAGTTTTTGCTGGTTAAATGTTACTGATAAAGTTTATGTTAGGTGTGTATTTAAAGCATACTATATTTGAGGCACGGTGGAGTAATGGATAGCAGTTCGGATTGAAGAATTGAAGAGCCGAGTTCAAATTCCAGTCGAATCCATTACATTCACTTACATGCCAATACCCTTGGGAAAGGTATGGATCCTCTTCTTCTCTCTGCAGCTATGGGTAAATAGCAGGACAAACCAGGTTCTATAGCATTGGAACTTCTATGTATTTAGAGTTTCTTGATAAAATACTGTTGAAACTTGACTAGTGCATGGAATAATAATACAACACAAAATGTACTTAGAACAAAATGTATTGAAACAAGAAAGTGTACACAATATTTACATATAGTCTTTTGTATATTCTTGGGAAGACCGTTCCTGGAGAATGTGTTGACTTAGTCGCAGTCGGGCAGAGTCTCTGGATTGAATCTCTTGATTCCTGCCACCATCTTCCCGGTACCAACCATATTTATATGATCAGTACTCCACTATGCAAATTAGGTGGATCCTACCACAACAAATACAAAGCAGGATCTGCAATGTTATAGGTCCTGACCTGGCATTTTCCTACTGCTGTAACATAGCGTCACAGTGCTTTTTTTTTATAAAAATTTTTATGTTAATTGTTCTGATCAGCTTTCTTCTATTTACAAATTTAAGTGCAGTCGAATCCATTACATTCATTTACGTGCTAATACCCTAGGAAAAGGTATGAATCCTCTTCTTCTCCCTCCAGCTATGGGTAAATAGCAGGACAGTCCGGGTTCTATAGCCCTGGATAGCAACTGGTCTACCACAGAAAGAAATGGCAACATACTGCGGGAAAAAATCTGCCTCGTCAGTCATGTATCAAAAGATACATGATCACCTAAGTGTGTATCACATATGGCACATAACTGAATGGGTAGTGGCTTGGATTGAGGAATTGGAGAGGCGAGTTCAAATTCCAGTCAAATCCATTACATTCACTTACGTGCTAATACCCTTGGGAAAGGTGTAAATCCTCTTCTTCTCCCCTCCAGCTATGGGTAAATAGCAGGACAGACCAGGTTCTATAGCCTTGGATGGCAGCTGGTCTACTGCAGAAAGAAATGGCAACATACTGCGGGAAAAAAATCTGCCTCTTCAGTCATGTATCGAGAGGATACATGATCACCTAAGCATGTATCACACATAACCGAGTGATATTTGAGTATGTGAAAGTAATATTATAATAGTACATAAACTAGTTTTATAATTTTAAGAGTGAATCACTGTGCAATATGCAATTTTTTGTGGGGCCTGAGGTGGCAACATCAAGGGCTGCCCCATGAGGCACACACTCGAACTATTCTACTTTATTGAGGATCCTTTTCCCTCCCATTCCTAACAACATCATTTACATTTCTCAAGAGAATGTAATTTTCAAAAGTTGCTAGAATTTAAAAGAAAGAAAAAATAATTTTGCTCTGAATTTTGGGGATAAACACTCATTTACATGTCGACAAATGTTCTCATCTTTGCTGTTATCATAATATTTTGGTAATTTTGCTCTCTGGTCTTCTTCAGGTGTCTTTTGATCTGAGTAACCTTCAGGGAAATTCAAAATGAACCCTTTATTTAATCTATAGCCAGTGGTGAACTGAATCTAAAAATATTGGTTACCAGGCAGACAATAATGGCCCACCCACAACTACAATTCTATCACTTAATTTTCATAACAAATCAATAAAACTTTCAAAATATATATACAGAAAAACAGGGTACAATTAAAAATTTTTGCGAAAAAAATGTGTATTTCATAGTAATTACAGAGTACCTGTTCTGTACACATTATGGCAGTAGATATCAAAGGTAAATACGAAATGTTATCATTTAATTTTTAATTAGTTTTTTAATTTTAAGGAATTTGTTGATATTTTGAAATAGTTCGAAGACACAATAGAGCACTGCATGCAGTCTACTATTTTAAGAGCAACCATTTGTGTTCATTAGATGATTGTGCTAATCAGCCAATAATTGCTTCTGCATCAAAGTTTAAAGTTTTTAAAAAAAAGTTTTTAAAAAATTCAGAAAATGAAAAAATATCCAAATAACAATGTTACCACACTTCCAAACTCGACATTTGTAAATAACTTCAAAGTTCAATAACTCTGTAAAAGTCAGGGATCAATTTTATACTGTATCCATATTATAAAAAAACACCTATTTCTCAAAAAGATAAAAAAAAAAAAAATCAATATTTTTTTTTATTCTGTCAAGTGCTGCAGTTCAAGGAAAGTCTAAAGAATGCTAATGTATGGAAATTATATCCAAACATTTTTTCAAAATTTTTTTAGATAATAATTTATTGATACAAGTTTTACTAATTAACCCATAGCTGGGGGAGAAGAGATGGATTCATACCTTTTCCAAGGGTATTTGTGTGTAAGTGAATATAACAAGCCTAACAGGAATTGGAACTCAACACACCGATTAACAATTCCAAATCATTATCCATTACACCATCCGCACATCCAAACTTACAGCACCTGGTATTTCACACAACCCCAGTACTGACTAGGCTTGACATTGCTTAACTTCAGTGATCATACGGTAACCAGTATTTCAACGTGATGTTGCCATAAGTCTACTTTAGAGTGTGTTTTATGACTATAGTAGGGTGATGAACTGGTCTCTATGTGTGTAAGTAAATATAATGAACCTAACAAGAATTGGAACTCAGCTGTTCAATTAACAATTCCGAGTCATTATCGATTACACCAACTGGTATTCTCAAGTGGTCACCCATCTAGGTACTGACCAGGCTCAACATTACTTAACTTCATTGATCATATGGAAACTGGTGTTTCAACCTGATACAGCTGTAAGCTGTGAACCAGATTCATAATCTGGAGATGAACAGAGATTTATTATTTTTATTTGGTCAGGCTAGCTCAACCATTCATGAGTCTATCATGTCAACTGTCACAGTCCTGAATCAAAGTCGGAAGATCCTTAGAGTGGCATCCTGTGTTATTACATAGTTGTCAGTGTATGCGGTTGCTGGGTGACCAGCCCATTTTGTGCCATGGCTAGGTGTCCAGAGCAGTAGATCACTCACAAGTTCTCGATTTGCTCACCAGAAGTGTCCTGCAAAGTGAATCGTGCATTCACATAAGATTGTAGAAATATAAGGGATGCGCCCATAGAGCTGTGATTTAGTTGGATGTTGTCTTCAAGAAATGTTTAACTCTCAGCATCTGAGTATAGCTTCCATCAAGCTTAGATTCAAAGGTTTTAGTTAACTGGAACTTATTTGCAACACGCTGACACATGTTAAAATCCTCAGTGTTTAGTATTGTGAAGTTATCACTAACAGTTTTGTTGAGATTTACAAACTCTATGTTTTATTCAATTTCTCAAACAAATCAATGAAATTTGAATAAGCTGATTTGGTTGGAAAAATACTTTGACAAAATCCCTACTTCATAGTTTAATAATTTCTTTAATTAAACTTCATGGTAAACAATGTTTTTAGAATGTTTCTGGTCTCCTTTTTAACAGCAAAGAATAAATTCTTAGGATTTCTTACTCTTGAGCATGCAACATACAACTAGCCATGCATAAATATTTCTGGAACCAAATTCCATATTTTTTAAGCGATTGACCTTGTGATTTGTTTATAGTTCTCAAAGGTGCAGAGGAAACTGGATTCTTGTACATATAAAAACTTAAAGAAAAGATATACAAAAAACAATATTGCATTTTTATTAGATAAATATTTGTTATTATAATCATTAAATTGTTTTTAAAATAGTGGGAGTATCTTGTATGTTAAATAATAAAATTTTTCCCCCAAAAATGAATGGAAATTTATTGTACTAAGTATAATAAAATAAACTTCACATCTCACTGGGATAAATGTGAGGATTACATCTCACACCACCACTCTACACAGGCAGGGCTAAATTTTGCCTCTTCCTTCTTGGTAATTCTAGCTCTGCCCACCTCTCAGAGCTAGCATAACTGTCTTTGTGACAAATCTAATTTTTAAAGTGCATAGGTGAAGGGTATAGTTTATTTTTTTTATTTTCCTCATTAATTTCAATTCTCTGACTCCCTAGCAAGACCAACTGTACTTTGTACTCCCTTACCTATTTGCACTTTTCGCCAAAATTTGGTTTTGATCGGTCAATGTATGGCTATTTTAAAGGATGTGTGGGTGGACGAACAGATATCACAGAATTTTATATAGATGTCTAAGCAGTGGCACCATTCATTAAAACTGACTCTATGGTGGCATGAAAGAATATCCGCTTGAGGTTGTCTGGAAGATCAGATTTCCAGTGAACATAGATAACTATTTTTAAATTACTGAGTTAATTGAATCTAAATTTGAGTCCCCTTAAAACTGATAAAATTTAGAAGTAAATTTAATCTCAAAAGGGTCAGAGGATTTAACTAATTAGCCTTTGGCCGCTGCCTTTCCCCCGTTCGTGTAACCATGTTTAGTGGTCTGGTCCATAGGGGTCTTCAGATGACATTTTAACCACACAGATTACCCTGTGCTGGTCAATGCTGATGCTGGTTCAAGCTGGTTGTTGGTCGCTGACTGCTTTGATCCACACTAATTCTGCCCACATTGTGTTCTTGATCTCAGAGCAGTGGAAGATTGAAGGTTGTCATAATCACAGTGCTGATTCAAGCCATGGTGGATGGTATATTAACTAAGAAAAATATCAACAAAAAATAAAATAAAATATTCATGGGGCCAATCTTCAATTGGTGTTTATAGCTCTTGGTATAACAAAAATTGAACTCTTCCCACATCAATCTCTATAATGACATTGGACCTTGTCTAAACTTCTTGGAATCAGGAAACCTGGTGGTAGCTGACATGACTTTCAGATGGACTCAATGTGAGTACTCAGCCCCAAGTCTCTGAGCTTCCAAAGTCATCCGCTTATATGCATTTCAGCCCCAAACTGGCATGGAGTCAAAGAGTGCTGGGGATTTGGTGATTCTCCAATTCTCACATTAATCCCAATAAAAGTTTTCTTTGTTCCCTATTTCTGTTTTCTTCATCAACTTTCCAAATTTGGAGAATTATCCACCTTCGTTGGTAGTAGTCACAGGGATTGCTCCTACCTTAACTCCAACCTGCTTCACTTCACATCTCACACCACCACTAGCTCTGCCCACTTCTCAGAGCTGGCATAACTGTCTTTGTGAAAAATCTAATTTTTAAAGTGCATAGGTGAAGGGTATATTTTTTTATTTTCCTCATTAATTATAATTCTCTGACTCCCTTCCCCTTCCTTACTATTACCTCTGTCCAGCAAGAACACAAACAAGACCAATGCTTCTCATTTTAACCTTCTGAGCAATAGATAAAAATTAATTCCTAAGTTGTCTGTGTCAACAAAAATATATTTGTTTACCTAGATTCTCAACAAAGAGACATGCTGTTCTCCATCCTTGGGCCAATCACCGGAGATAAACTAGACCACCTGCCTCTTACAACAGGATCACTTTTCACAATCCTAACCCTCACAGCAGGTTCATTTCTTGTTTTCATTTCTCAATTCATTTTCGCCAACGAAACTATAATTCCCATCTGCCTCTGTTCTCACCAATGACATCTGTTTTTCTACTTTCCCAAGAAAGAGATAAAGCCATTTCCTAATTTGTTTTACCCACATGCCAGATTTTCAATAGATAAAAAAAAGTAAACTCTTGCTGCATCATTCCAATTCATAGGGGTGAGACAATACAGATGGCCCATTTTTTCTCACTTCCACATTACCAGGGAAAATGTCTTCCATTCTCTCTCTCTCTCTCTCTCTCTGTATCTCCAGTTTATATTTCATTTGGAGTTTAACCCTTTTTCTGCTTAGATTTAACATTTAACTGCCTCAGTGCCTCAGCGTCACAAATTCCTTTTAAATTTGACTAATCTTAAAGCTGGTAAGTTTTCAAATTAAATTTGATCTCAAAAAGTTTAGTGGGGGTTAATTTGTATAGACAGCTCAGGCTCAATTTAAATTTAAATTACCTTAAAACTAGTAAAATTTAGAAATAATTTGAATCTAAAAAGGGTTGGGAGTTAACATCTGTAGGTAACTCACAAAATGAATTTAAATTGGCAATAGGAATATATAGGTTTGTCTATCGCCCGGTTCACACTTCTCCCCGATCTTTTGAACATGAGTAGAGGGTTATCCCTTGTTTCCTGTTTAGGATTGTATTTCCATTTCGTTCTTGTGTCTTTTCATTCTCTTTCACACTTGCGTCTTAGTAGCATTATCACCTTGCTTGGGGTGAACTGATTAAAAAAAAAATCGTTTATCAGTATTTCTTTCAACTTTTTCAATGGTTACCTATTTTTTGTGTTAGTAAAAAGAAATAAAAATTTGAGTCAATTTAAAAAAAAAAGCAATTCACAGAACAGGAAAATTTTCTGTGAATCCAAAGTTGACCTTCTGCATTAGCAGGCAATTTCCTTGGCCAGTCATGGCAGGAAGTTTTGAAGACTGGCTTACAAAATAGACAAAAATCCTATCAGTAGAAAGTAAACTTGCAGTGTTAAGTAGGTATAGTAAGTAGTAATGAGTTGTAGATATAGTCAAATATGGAAGCTTAGTTACTGCAAATATGAAGTTACCATGTAAGTTAGTAGTTGATAGTCATTTTTAATGTCAGATCTCTTACTACCTTTGTCCCGAAATAGTTGATACATTCGTGTACACATTTCACACGTTAAATGCATCGACTATTATTATAAACCATATACAACATTTCGCAGTGAAACCTGATAATATTTTCTTTCTATTGTATTATATTTTTGGCAAAATTTAGGTAAATTTAAAAAAAAAAAATTAAATAGTTGATAACATTCTTAACACCGTGATGAATTCTCAAAATTATAATCTTAAATCTGAAAAAATATTTAGCTGAAGAGAAAACTCTTTTATGTGCGTGGTACGAAGAAGGATTTTCGAAATGAAATCAAGTGTTTGCTTGTTTCAGTTGTTGTTTATGCTTTATTCTTACTAAGCTTTTCTGAGCATTTTTAATACTTAATTTCAACCAATAAGAATGGTCTGATATATAAACTGATTTGTTTTTTTTACAGTTTAGCAACCTTCTGAAGGTTATTTAAAGCCAGGAAAACTTTTAGCTTGTAAGAATTTTTTTGGAGATAATAATGGCTTACTGTTATTAGGTTGGTGCAAAAATAATGACGTAATGATGTCGTTTTTTGACGTTAAAAAATACGTCCAAAAACGACATTATTACGTCATTATTTTTTAACCAATCTAATATATACTGTACCTATGAACACTAATGGGTATGTCCCAATCCTCATAAATATGTTGGACACTATTGTAAGGGGAGGGTAATATGCTGTCTGGAGGCATGGTGGAGTAATGGATAGCGGCTTGGATTGAGGAATCCGAGAGCCAAATTCGAATTCCATTTGAATCCATTACATTCACTTATATGCTAATACCCTTGGGAAAGGTATGAATCCTCTTCTTGCTATAGATAAATAGCAGGACAGACCAGGTTCTATAGCTCTATAGTTCTATAGTTCGATGGCAGCTGGTTTACTACAGAAAGAAATGGCAACCTACTGCAGGAAAAAATCTGCCTCATCAGTCATGTATCAAAAGATACATGATTGCCTAAGCGTGTATCAAACATGGCACATAACATATGTGTTATATACTGTACCTATGAACACTAATGGGGATGTCCCAATCCTCATAAATACATTGGACACTATTGTAAGTGGAGGCAATATGATGTCTAAGTAATCCACCACTAGCAGTGGTTTACCTACTTCATGCTGCTGGCGAGTATTGTATTTTGTTGATGTTAT